TATTGTGTTTCCTTTTTTGAATTGCCAAGATTGACTTTACATTTTCTGATTATCTGTTAAATAGACCCTTTTTTTTACTTATTTCCCATGGCTTTTATAAACCATCATAGAAAGAACAAGAAGACAGTAAGGATACTACACTCAACCACAAAAGAGGAGAATTACATGTTTATCTATCTACGTCCATGCAGTACAATTAAGTATTTTGAACCATAATTTTATGAGCAGAACTAAATATCAGAGGTAGATGTGTAAAGGCAGCCCATGTCATATTTGTAACTTTTTCATGATCTTAGTAGCACTCTGAGAGATTCCCCATCAAGCCCCACTTCTTTATTTCAAAGTTGGAGAAATACATCCAGTGAAATATATGGCCTCTCAAATGTTATACAACTTATCACCCCTGAAGCTAAACAGGAAGTTTTTACTGTCATTTTAATATTTCAATATTCTTTCATATATATGTATATGTAGTATATATGTATATATTACACACTTACATACACATATACACATATTATAATATATACACATATTCTTATATATATATATACACTCCCATTTGTATTTATATATGTATAGAAATCTTCCCTTAAATGAATGTAGCATTATAGAGATGTTCAGACTACATTAATAGAGAAATTATTCTTTTCACTTTTCTTTCCTTTCTTTGTAATAGATGTGTGGAATGCAAGAACTTCCCTTCAACTCATGGGAGGATTTTAAGATTGAGCCTTCCTTGTCCTCAAGGGAACAGAGCCTGGTTAGGAGTTGTTACTAATTCTTGCTCTGGATTTAAAAAACCAGGAAGATCTCTTACACAAGAAAAAAGTAAGAAGTCCTAGACCTGGACAGACATGGAGATTGAAGGAGGGAGTCCTGAGACTCCGGGGGAGGAACTAGAGAAAGGTGAATGAGAACTGTTTACAGAGGGAAATTTGGGGATTTGAGTACTGGCCATGGCAAGCGCCCAGGGAGGGGAAGCGACAACGGCAACACAGAGAACACTCCCGGTGCCCAGGCATATACACTGACCATCCAGCCTGCACTTCAGACAGGAACTTTCACTGTCTTCCCCTGGAAGGCCTGCACATCGCTTTGGTGTGGATCATTCTGACTGTTAATAAAACAGCAAATTGATAACTATCCCTATTCCAAGTCTGTATTTGGTCTCTGTTGAGTAACTTATATGTTCCCCAGCCCCACTGCCAATGCTTCCTCAGCCCATCTCACAACGCCCCAGTTGGCCCCTCTGTTCTGTAAAGGGAATGGGGCCATGCGTATCTAGTAAGAGTAGGGGAGTACAGCAGAGGAACTCTGACAATGAGCTTCGGCAATACTGTCTTAAAGCTCAAAATCTCATTTCTAAAATGATATTTTTATAAGGGTTCAGGACCTTTAATCTTTTCTCCAGTCTTTTGTTTTGTTTTATTAAAGGCATAGGAGGAATACATAAAGAAACTTGTTTAACTTGTTTTGTTAATGACTTAACATTTTAAAATTACCTAAACCTGAGATATTTTGTGCAGTGTGTATTTACTGTTTATGTATACATCCTTCTGAATAATACAACAGATAAAAGCTAAACAGTAGAGAAGATATGATTTGATGCTTAAAAATGAGGACAACAACAATTATATAACTGTTTACCATCCACATGACTAATATGATTTCATGTAACTGAAAATGTTTAACTTTAAAATGTCAAAAGTGCTACTTTAAATAACTAAACTTTCTTTTTAAATCAACAAGTGGACCCCAAAGAATTGCCAAACACAGTGAACTAAACTGCGACTCTGCCATTTATATCTGTAGATCCTAATAGACGATGAAACATTACAAAACAGGAGTTTTCTTGTTTTGTTGGTTTTTGGCTTTTGTTTTGTTTACTTACTTGCTTTTTTTAGTTTAGAACTAAAGTTACTGAAAGGGAGTGTGTAGAGCTTCACCAAAAGCAAATGAGTAGCAACAACAACAACAAAAAAATAGGAGATAGACAAATAGTAAAAGAATGTATGAATGAACATTTTCCAGGGGTAATTTACCTCCAAGTTTAATAGGGCAAAAGTCTACCATAAAAGAAACAAATAGCTCTCCTGAAACTTAATTACATTTCAAAGCAGTATAGTTACATGAAAGGAACAAAACATTTCTGTTCAATACTTTGCCTACCAGATGGCAACTCTAAATATAGTAATATAAAACCTCCTGCTTGTCCTATAAATAAATAAAGATGAAAAGAATAGCAACAATAGCTAAGCATTTAAATCACTAGAAATAAAAGAACACTTTGATTAGGTTTGGAAGAATCTGGCTCATTCTAATAATCTAATAAGATCCTGAATCTGGGAAGTCTCAAGCTCTAGGCAAAACTTTCAGAATCTCAACCTTCAGGTATCTACCCCTATGTTATCTACCTGTCTATACTATTAACATCATGAGCCTGGGGAAAAGTGAAGAAACACAGGAAATCCTTATACACCGAGACTCTACAATACAAGGGCACAATCCAAATTCTAAGTTTTTATTTATTAAAATAAAATAGTTGACCTGATCTGTCAGATGATCCCATCTGTACTAAAAGTAGTAGCATGTGCCTATAGTCCCAATTACTCCAGGGGCTGAGGCAGGAGGATCACCTGAGTGTCCAGGATTTTTGAGTTGCACTGACCTGTGATGAGGCCACTTCATGCTAGCCCCAGGGAACAGAGCAAGACCTTGTTTCAAAAATGAGTAAATAAGCAAACAAATAAATAAGTAAATAAAGCAATTGATACATGGCCTTGCTTTATTTCTGTGGGCTAATGAGTAAATACAGGTAATAGTTAAGGACCTGGATTCTGCAGTCAGACACAGCATTTGAGGCTAGGCTCTACAATTGACTGGCAGTATGACTTTAAGCCAAGTTCCTTTACTCTCTGAGACTCAATGGCAAAATTAGATAGTAAAAATGCAGTGTTTTATGGGAATTAACTTAAGACAGTGCTCGACACTTAATCCCATAAATGTCAGTTGCTTATTATTGTTATCTGTAATAATCATGATTAAATAATTATATTTATGATTTTTGTTGTCTCACAATCAAGGAGGTAGTCTACAACAAAGTTTTCTGGAATTAAATGAAGGTCTAAGTGCAGAATTCAAAGCCTTACCTAGCATATCTCTAAGAGGCCTCTCCTGGTAGCACTGGCCTCTTCTTACCTGGCTACTGAGGGTTATTGAGAACTCATGTGGGTAGGCAGGTCTAGAGACAGAAATGTTCTTTGAACTTGACTATCAGAGCTCAGCCCACCCTAGCCTGACTTCCTTCTCATATTCTCAGCTGCAGATCTATGGACTCTGGAGAAATGACTCAGAGTTTTCTTTTTGATCTGGTTAACTAATGGCATGTAGGATCATTTCCACTGGTTACAGCATTGATACAACATTATATCACAGAGCTTATCTTGGTAACTAATCCTTGACGGTAAGAAATGTAGTCACTTGCGAGTAGGACAATTACATTGAACCAATAAAAGATAAGTTGTACTTGCTTAAATATGATGCAGACTACAGTGAACAGAAGGCCAACGTTTAATGGCACTTACAGTTCTACTGTGTTGTTTTGTTGAATTTTACATAAGGTAAGAGTCACCTTCTAGAGCTGCAGCCTGCAGTATTAAAACTTCACGGCACTCTACCGAGGGTTAATAAGGGAAACTCTGTCTCAAAGAAAAAAAAAAACTTACTTTGTTTAAACCCTTATACAGAAAGTAATTCCACTTTGGGTATTTTTAATTGTGGCAAAATGCATCCAACATAAACTATCCTAAGTGTTCAATTCAGCCGCATTAAGTACATTAACAATGTTGTACAGCCATCCTCATTATACAGTTCCAAAATTGTTTTTATTATCTCTAACAGAAACAATAAGGTCTCATTCCTTCCCTCCCTTCAGCCCCTGATGACCGCCATTCTTCTTTTCGTCTCTATGAATTTGCCTATTTTAGATATCTCCTATTAGGGCATTCACACAGTATTCATCCTTTTGCGTCTGACTGACTTCACTTAGCATACCTTTTCAAGGTTCATCCATGTCACCCATGTCTGAATTTCATTCTTTTCAAAGATTGCATGAGATTCTACTGCATGCATTTACCGTATTTTGTTTATCCTTTCATCTGTAGATGAGCGGACATTTGGGTTCCTTTTTCCTGTTGGCTATTTTCAGTAATGCTGCTCTGAATATTTGTGTAGAAGTATGTTTGAGTCTCTTCAATTTCCCTGGGGTATATATCTAGAAGTGGGTTTGCTGGGTCATACGGTGAGTCTGTGTTTAACTTTCTGAGGAAACACGGGTCTTTTTCCCTTGTTTCCATCCATAGTGGCTGACATCATTTTCCATTCCCATCAACAGTCAGCAAGGGCAGTGTCTACACTGTCTTCATCAATACTCCTTTTCTGCTTTTTTGATAACAGCCATCCTAATGGATATGAAGTGGCACCTCATTAAATTAGGTTTACTTTGCTTTGCAAACTTTTTTTTTTTAAGACACAAAAAGAAGTTGTTATTGTATGCGTGGCTTACCCTGTATAAAAAGCTGCAAACATCCTGTGCAAATCCCGGATAGAACGTAAAATATGGTTGCATCTGTTAGCTTTTAAACATAACAACATTAATATTTCTCCAAACAAGAAGGTAATCTTGAGTTTTAAGACAGCAGTTAAAAAGCCTACAACCCATGCTTGGGCTATCCATTCACCCTTAGTCATTACAAACGCCCATAAAGGAGTGACACATGTTGAATACAACTCTTAGCAAAACCAAATTCAGTTCCAGTTAAAATTGCCTCAAATTCTTCACCGACGCACCATATTAAAAAACGTCAGAGTCGGGACCGCACCGCTCCTTCGCGCATGCGCGCATTCAGGCGCGCCCTCGCGCGGAGTCTGCGTGCGCGTGCGCGAGCCCGTGCGCCGGCGCAGGGGTGGGGCCTGGGACTGCCCTCTTGGTGTTCGCGATGGCGGCTGCGTCTCGTTCGGTTCTGCTGCAGCGCTGTGTGGTGCCGCCAGCTGGGAGGCACAGCGCCTCTCTGATCTTCCTGCATGGCTCAGGTGGATTGCAGTTTTACATCCCGGTTTTTGCAGCTTGGGAAACATCTTCCTTTCGGTTGTCCTAGTGTTGCTCGAGTGCAGAAGGCGCCGGTTCCCTAAAGGGCCCAGTGGGCGCGGGAGGGTGGCTGTCCCCTGCCTGTCCCCGGCTGTGAACTCATGGGCAGGGTCAGCTGTCCCCAGCCTCCCCGGTCTATCTTCCTCTTTCTATCTTTGGATCACTGTCCTATCGCCCGGCTTCGGGCCCTCGTGTCCCGCGGCACTCCCAGCCTTCCACGCACAACATTCTGTCCACTGCAGCCCTTTCCACCAACCCCATTCCTCTCCCCAAGTTAAAAAGAGCAAGTTAGTAAGGTAAGTCTTCTGCAAGAAGCAGATAAATTATTTAGTGCTTTTCAGAGTCGGCTACGAGTGATTTGACTCTTCCGCTGCAATGGATTATTTACCATTGCTTGCTTTCAGTCTCCCATACTAATTAATGTAGGCAACAGGTTGAGATCAGTTAACTTAGGTTATATTTACTGAGTGCCTCCCTTCTATGAGGCACTGTGCGGTCGTTGAAGTGCCTTTTCTCCTTGTCCTTTTTCCTGCTCCTTCCTTTTTTCCCTTTCTCAAGATACAGCCAGAGGAACTGTGCGTCCCAGGGACAGGTCCTCTTCACTGCTTGCCCTTAGCTACGTGCAGTTAATTGGACGTGTAGTTTCCTAACGTTCATCTATAATTACTTACGTCTGTCTTCCTTATTGGTTTGTGAGCTCCTCAAGAGTAAGAACCCTTGTTTTAATCTTTGCACCCCCAATGCTTGGCCCAGGGTAAGTTCACGGGAATTTTTTTTTTTTTTTTTTAATGAGACACAGCCAGTGTCCTCAGGGGGCGTACCTAAGGTCAAAAACAATTCAATTAGTTTGAGTCAGCAGTGAATGGAATATCACAAGATGGTGTATGGTTTGCTGCCAAGGGAATTTTAAGAAAGAAAATGTGCTAAGGCATTTGGAAGATGAAGAGCTTGTGGACTCTTCAGAAAAAGTGGTCTTTGAGCTGAGACCTGGGCTGAAAAGGGATGGTGATTGGGTAGTGGAGGAAACTGGAAAGCTTCAGGGTAGAGAAATGAAAATGGGCAGTTGTGGGAGTTACTCTGTTTTGAAAATGACAACAGATAAGTTCAACAGCTTGCAAGGTCACTTGCCTGTTACTGTGAGAGGGGATAGATTTGGGATTTGATATTTGACCCCAAAATTCTCTTACTGCAAAATCTGTGCTCTTGTACGATGAAGTGAAAAACCCTGAACTAGGATATATCATTTTGGAGATAGGGAAGAAAGGGGCCAGTG